GTCTGAAAGAAGCTGAGCTGTGGAGCAGTCCTCACAAAAGCTAATCCGTGCTAAGCATGCAGAGTGATTCCTCAGGAAAGGAAGACCGTATTTGACATTCTGTGCAGGTGTATCAGGGCAGCTCCATGGGGATGCACTGTGGGGAAACAAGCAGCACAACTCCTGCACAGTGAAAGATGAACCCGCCCCTGTATGGGAAATGCAAAAAAGACAATCTTGGCAGGTTCAGTGCAGAACTCGCCATTCCAAGAGCAACCATCTCTCCTTCTGCTTCTGAAGCTTGGTGCATCTGCGCTGCAGGCTGCCCTTCCAGATCTGTGAGGAAACACAGGGATGTAGTAAGAGGGATATGAGGCCAACTACCAACTCCATCCTTCCAGCCTTTAGGGAAAAAAAAAAAAAAAGAAGGGGGAGGGGGGTTTTTTTTTTTTTTTTTTCAAGCTATCCAAAGTTAACTAGATACAAGTGGAACTATTACCTTCTTTCAGGTGGCTGATATGATTAACCATGGACATTTCTGGAGCTAGTGCTAATTACTGTAAGGATGCACAAATTGCAGTACTGGAGAATTGAGTACCTGCACCACTAAAGCCTTACTCCTCTTGGGCTCACCCAGTGCTAGACACTCTACCAGACACTTCCAGGAGACAGCCGCTCATCTCCCCATAAATCAGCACCTTACCCACACAGACGGCCAGTTATCTGCTAAGAGAGCCAGGGTACCACAGAGGGAAGTTGCATGGTCCACCGGCAGCCTGCTTGGAGCTGGGCAGCACCAGGCTCCTGGCCATGCAGTAGAAGTATATTTGACATCAGGTAGTCAGAGAGAACCACCTCCAGGGCAGAAGCAGAACTGCAGCTCCAAGCTATTCATAAGCACTCTCCATCCCACAAAAAGCAAGACTGCGCATCCTAGGGCTAGCGAAATGGGAGTGCTGCTGGAAAGGGGGAGCAAACCCAGACACCGTGGCCTAGGAAGCAATAGAACAGACTGGACAAGGAGATGGACTGCTCATCTTCTAGATGCAAATGGCAGCCTGCTCACAATCCCACTCTTTGGCTGGACTCTCCCAGGCCTGCCCCCGATGCTCTGCCTCTGGCCGAGTCTCCCCCATGAACCTGGCTCACAGGCAGCCCTGACACAGCCAATCTGCCACCTGCACCAGCTGCATAGCCTCTCCCCACAGCACAACCGGCCACAAGGGCTAGAGGAAATAAAAGCAGCATAGCCCTGTTGGGCGAGATGCTGCTCCAACACCTGTGCTCAGGACCAGTTCCAGCTTGCAGGCAGGGCACTATGAAGAAAAGAGTACTCTTCAATGCTGTCCTACAGTCAAAAGGAAACAGAGCACCCAGTACAACCTCTTCCCTCCCTCCACCAGCTAGCCCCACACTGTAAGACCCATACCATAGCAGCAGGGCTGGGACCGAAGGTGATACACTTAGTCCCAGTTCTGCTGCCTCCTGTACTCTCTCTAGGAGGATCACATACATCACATCTCCACCCAGAACACAGCCCACAGCTTTCCTTCACTCCACCACAGACCCTGAGGTGGCACCTCCATGCAGGAACCCGGGGACAGCCCTGCACACCCTGAGAAGGTGCTGCACTCATGGGACAGTCAGGCTGTCCCACCACAGCCCAGGGGGTCATGCCCTCCACCATCACTCTGGACAGCACTCACTCAGCCCTGTGGGCTGCACAGGCTCCATGTGGAACACAGTCTCAGACAGAATCTGCTAATGCTCCCTTCAGGGCCCTGGCTCACTCACGTAGGAAGCACCTGGGGTTATGAACTTCCCAGTCAGCCTGAGGAAAAACAGACAGGGCCGGACATCAACATGACAGTCCAAGGCAGAACGCAGGACGCTCAGCCCTAGCCCAGTTTATAGCCCCGCAGGACAAAGTTGTCTCTTCAAAGACACTGGAAGCAAGAAGAGATGAGGTCCACAAGTCCTAGAAAGAAAATACCCTTTGTTTCTCCTGTCAGTCCAGCTCCTTTTACACTGTTTCTTCCTCCCCTACCTGAAAGGGAGAAGTTTTTCACCAGGAGGAAAAAAACCCAAACAAACAAAGAAACCCCCACAACCCACCAGAAATACCAAAACATCTTTGAAAACAGTTTATAAACATAAGAAAAACCCCTCTACCCACTGCTAACTGCGCCCCACTGACACAGAGGGATTTTTAGCAATCAGGAACCTGAAAACTGAAATAAGGACTTTGGAGAATTATGGAAGAACCCACCCTGCTTCCCAGAATGACCCTAGCTTTCCACAAGTATGCCCTGTAGTCTCTGCTTCTAGTTGTATTAGGGTTTTTTTTTTTTTTTCCTAACAGCAGGTGTTCATCCAGTCCTACCAAATAATCCAGATGGCCAGAGTTCAAACTGCCTCACAATTCATGATGCAAAGATTAAATACATGATCTGTGTTTTTAATACATTATTTTCAGGCAGCCAACACGAGGTTTTGCTTTTTTAGTTGCATAAGACTGAATACCAACTCCTGCAGGACTCGACAAGAAGGAAAGTCTCCATTTATGATATCTGTTAACGATTTGCTGAGAACTGGGGATAGCTCAGAGAAATCAACCTGCTATTGAGTGTTCTATAGTTGACATATAGAGCTAATTAAAGCCAAAGTGAATCTTTCTAAAAATTGTGACAAGTCTGATGTTATCAATCAAGCCTGTGATTTGGTAAAATAAGATATATTCTATATAAACCACTTCAATTACTTATGTTCCAACCCCTTAATTTATTATCAAGCAAGTCTTAGAGCAGGTTTCCTTTATTTTGCCTACAATTAATTCTAGACTGACCCACTAACCACGCTATCCTCCTTTCCCAGAGGGAAACGTGTTTCCTCCCTGATCCTTTACTTACAATTTCCTGCTACTCCAGTATTTTTTTTTTTTTAATAAATACCAGCAGACCAGAGAATTCCAGCCCATTTTTTTCAAAACCCAGGTAAAAGTTATGGACACACTGACCTTGAAACAGTTGTCCCATCTAGCTGCTATTTAACAGCTTTTTTTTTAACCTACAAATGAACAAGGAAGTAGCTTTTTTGTTTTAATAATAATTTTTTTTAATCAAGTAGAAAAAAGTTTATTAGAAACATAGTATTTTTTTTTAATCAAATAGAAAAAAGTTTATTAGAAACATAGTATTTCTGTACTTACTGCATACTTTGTCATTCCAAGATTTTTTCTTGTTGTTCTTTATATGTAGAATCTTGTATTCATTTCTCTACTACCTACAGATGCTTTTAACCTCCTTTACGCCTACAGTCAGCAAGTATTTTCCACTTACCATTTATGCTACATTTTTGTTACACCATCCTCCAACACCCCAGTTGCAGCCTTCTGTGAACCAAGTTTGATTTTCAGTCCAACTTCAAGCCCCCTTCATCAACAGGTCCCAATTCTACAGACATCTGAAAAGGTTTTAGAAAACAATGTTTTATCTTGCCTCCGCCTTCTTGAAACTAATTTGACAGAAAACTTTACTTACAGTTTTCCTCCTTTGAAGTTTTCCATCTGCTCATCATGCTTATGATGAGGACAAGAGCTTAATAGCAACCAACTTCAAAGTCCAGTGGCTAGTTCATCCTTATTCATTGTAAAGGGGCAAGACTACAGATAACTCATTTGAGCTGCAAAAGGTTGTACTGGAAAACTGCAGAATATTTAGGCACCGCAGCAACTTCACCAGTTTTATCAAGCTTCCAACACTGAGGTTCCCCTGTAACTTCCTTAAAGAGGAGCACGTAAAAGGCAATTCAACCAGTACTCTGTGATAAACTATGACAGATTCGTGCTCAATACTCTTTCTGGATCGCTAGTTAAAACCGATCCAACACACCCCTAGGTGGGCTAGGTCCCAGGCTGAAAGTTCTTGCAGTGGCCAACAGCATGCCAAGTGCACGTTTCACCTTTTTAACACTTGCATCCTTCCTGCTCAAGTTCAGACTAGCAATTTGCACACTTCCCCCTTAGGATACACCCAACCGATTCCTGAAGAACTAGCACGCTCGTGCTCTCTCACCGATGAGAGCTCCCATCTCCTCTCGCTCCTTACCCAGGCTGGACCACTGGAGACGTACCACCCGCGAGGAGAGCTGTATTTCCCATTCTTCTCCCTGTGCCTGCAGCAGCAGCTGCGGCCAGGGCACCCCCTCCGACCGCAGCCACGCTGGCGAAAGCAGCGGCCGCTCCGTACCGAGTAAGCAGCGGGAGAGGGCGACGGGCAGGATCGGAGCACAAGCCTTTCCGCACTTCCCGCCCCGGCTGAAAGCTCTGGCCTAGCTCCGCGGGCCCCACCAGCACCCGCTCCCCACGGAGCGCCACCGCCGCAGGCCCCGCCCCCCCTGGGGGCTGGCC